TCCGACTCCCTGTCCTTCTCCCTGTCCGTCTCTCTGTCTCCCTGTCTGTCTCCCTGTCTCTCTCCCTGTCTGTCTCCCTGTCCGTCTCCCTGTCTGTCTCCCTGTCTCCCTGTCTGTCTCCCTGTCTGTCTCCCTGTCCGTCTCCCTTTCTGTCTCCCTGTCCGACTCCCTGTCCGTCTCCCTGTCTGTCTCCCTGTCTGTCTCCCTGTCTGTCTCCCTGTCCGTCTCCCTGTCTCTCTCCCTGTCTGTCTCCCTGTCTGTCTCCCTGTCCTTCTCCCTGTCTGACTCCCTGTCTGACTCCCTGTCTGTCTCTCTGTCTCAACAGGGCTTTGAGGGTCCCAAGGGAGACAAAGGCGAGCGGGTGAGTTCTTGCCTCAGTGTTACCGTGTCCCCGTTCCTGTGCCTCTGTGTACCCATGTCTGCATGTGTCCATGTCCCTGTGTCTCCCCGTCTCTCCGTGTTCTCTTGTCTCCGTGTCAACGTGTATCCATGTCCCCGTGTCTCCCTGTGTCTCCGTGTCAACGTGTCTCCATGTCCCCGTGTCTCCCTGTGTCTTTGTGTCCCCGTCTCTCAGTGTCCTATTGTCTCCGTGTCAACGTGTCTCCTTGTACCCGTGTCTCCCTGTGTCTCTGTGTCCCCGTCTCTCCGTGTCAACGTGTCTCCATGTCCCCGTGTCTCCCTGTGTCTCCCTGTGTCTCCCTGTGTCTCCGTGTCTCCTTGTACCCGTGTCCCCTGTGTCTCCTTGTACCCGTGTCTCCCCGTCTCTCCGTGTCCCTGTCTCTCCGTGTTCTCTTGTCTCCGTGTCAACGTGTCTCCATGTCCCCGTGTCTCCCTGTGTCTCTGTGTCCCCGTCTCTCCGTGTCCTGTTGTCTCCGTGTCAACGTGTCTCCATGTCCCCGTGTCTCCCTGTGTCTCCGTGTAACGTGTCTCCCTGTGTCTCCGTGTCAACGTATCTCTCACCAGAGTGGTGGGATTGTGATGAGGTCACTGGTGATGTTGATGCTGTTGATGGTATTTATAGGAATACAGCTGCTGATGGTGGTGGTGTTGATGGTTAATATGAAATCTGATGAGGTTGGTTATATTGATGCTGCTGCTGATGGTATTGATGGTTAATATTATAGCTGATGACAATTGATGATGTTGATGATGCTAATGTTGATTCCTTTTAATGTAATTATTAACGATGATGTAAAACAATCGCACTGCATTACTATCATCACCATCATGATCACCTTCACATCATCATCATTTAATATACCTACGCCACCATCCATGCAGAACGTATCAAATCAATTTAGCCTAGGGGCACCCCCAGTGGCAGCTGTCCCTGTGCATCAGTCTGTTAGTAGGGGGTTGATGATTTCTGCTGTGTGGTCTAGCCTAGGGGCACCCCCAGCGGCAGCTGTCCCTGTGCATCAGTCTATCAGTAGGGGGTTGATGATTTCTGCTGTGTGGTCTAGCCTAGGGGCACCCCCAGCGGCAGCTGTCCCTGTGCATCAGTCTGTCAGTGGGGGGTTGATGATTGCTGCTGTGTGGTCTAGCCTAGGGGCACCCCCAGTGGCAGCTGTCCCTGTGCAGCAGCCTCTCAGTAGTAGGGGTGGTGATGATTGCTGCTGTGTGGTCTAGCCTAGGGGCACCCCCAGTGGCAGCTGTCCCTGTGCATCAGCCTCTCAGTAGTAGGGGTGGTGATGATTGACTGCTGTGTGGGTCTAGCCTAGGGGCACCCCCAATGGCAGCTGTCCCTGTGCAGCAGCCTCTCAGTAGTAGGGGTGGTGATGATTACTGCTGTGTGGTCTAGCCTAGGGGCACCCCCAGTGGCAGCTGTCCCTGTGCAGCAGCCTCTCAGTAGTAGGGGTGGTGATGATTGCCCAGCTGTGTTGGCTCCATCACTTTGTGGCGTCGTCCCCCGCGCCCAACCGTGATTGGTCGATACGGCCCTGGTCTGCACCGCAGGTGGCGATGGGGTCGCGATTAAGTTCAGGGTCAAGGTCAGGTGGCAGGGCCGCATCATCCTTCACCCACTGAGAGCTCTCACGGTGGCTGCCGCGGATTTCCGGAAGATGCCGCGGATTTCCGGAAGATGCCACGGATTTCCGGCAGATGCTGCCGCGGTTGCCTAGGAGCTGCCGTGCCTTTCTAAGGAGCTGCCGCGGATTTTTTTGGGGCAATCGCGGACTTCCTGCAAATGCTGCCGCGGCTTTCCAGGAGCTTGACGTGGATCTTTTTTTTTTAGGTGCCACGGATTTCGAAGGAGCTGGCGCGGATATCAAACCACGTTAGACATCACTTGTCGCTCCACACTCACTCCTTGTTCCCTCCCTGACCCCCTTGTTAACCCCCTTGCTGACCCCTTGTTGAGCCCCTTGCTGACCCCTTGTTGACCCCCTTGCTGACCCCCTTGTTGAGCCCTTGTTAACCCCCTTGCTGACCCCTTGTTGACCCCCTTGCTGACCCCTTGTTGACCCCCTTGCTGACCCCCTTGTTGAGCCCTTGTTAACCCCCTTGTTGACCCCTTATTGACCCCCTTGTTAATCCCCTTATTGACCCCTTGTTGACCCCTTGACCCCTTGTTGACCCCCCTGTCTGACCTCTTATTGACCCCCCTTGTTAACCCCCTTGCTGACCCCTTGTTGACCCCCTAAGTTGACCCCCTTGTTGACCCCCTTGTTGACCCCCCTTGTTGACCCCCTTGTTGACCCCTTGTTGACCCCCTTGTTGACCCCTTGTTGACCCCCTTGTTGACCCCCTGGCTGACCCATTGTTGGCCCCTTTGTTGACCCCTTATTGACCCCTTGTTGACCCCCTTGACCCTTGTTGACCCCCTTGTTGACCCCCTTGTTGACCCCTTGTTGACCCCCTTGCTCCTTGGCCCAGGGCTCCGAGGGGCTCCGAGGAAGGAGGGGAGCCCGAGGGGATAAAGGGGACCAGGGTCTCCCCGGGCTGGACGCGCCCTGCGCCCTGGTATGGACCCCCAGTGCAGCTGGGACCCCTGAGCTCAGTGCCCAGGGGGTCCCGGTGGGGTCAAAGCCATCCGAGTGTATCCCCTCTTTAACCCAGGCACCCCCTTCTAACCCCTCCTCCTCCTCGTCCCCCCTTGCTCCCCCTCCAGGTACCCCCTCCCTACCCCTCCAGGTACCCCCTTTATAATCCTTCACCTCCGACCCCTCTCCCGCAGGTACCGCCCTTCCTACCCGGGTATCCCCTTTTTAACCCCTCTGCTTCAGGTTACCTCCTTCTAATCCCCTCCGACCCCTCTGCCCTAGGTACCCCCTTCCTACCCCCTCCAGCTCCCCCTACCCCTTTTAACCCCTCTGCTCTAGGTACCCCCTTCCAGAGGATCCCCCTTGGACCCCCGTGTTTATTATTTAAGCCCTGACACCCCCCCTCCTCCCTATTAACCCTCTGGCTGTGTGACCCCCTAACGGACCCCAGGGACCCCGCGGCACTAAGGGGGAACAGGGGGACCCTGGCTTACCAGGGCTCGACGGGATAGACGCGCCCTGCCCATTGGTACGCCCCCTCCCCCACCCCTCCCCTCGCCCCCCCACTCACCCCTCCCCTCGCCCCCCCATTCACCCCCCACTCACCCACCCACTCACCCCCCCCACTCACCCACCCACTCACCCACCCACTCACCCACCCACTCACCCCTCCCCTCACCCCCCCCCACTCCCCCCTCCCCTCGCGCATGCTGCGTGATGTCACAAACCACTGACCTCTCACCCCTAGATATCGTTGTTGACCTCTGACCCCAAATCTCATTCAACTACCGCCCCCCCCCCCTCCAATCATTGTTAACCCCCCACTGACAGACCCCCCCACTGACAGCCCCCCATTGACAGCCCACCCACTGACAGCCCCCCCCCCCCACTGACAGAGCCCCCCACTGACAGAGCCCCCCACTGACTAGTACTGGCTGTGTAACGTTTCCTGGCTCAGGCGGTTTTTAAACGAGCGAGTCTGAATATCCCGGGGGGTGGGGGGGGGTTGGGGTGGAAGGGAACTGAGTGGGCTGAGTGGATGGTCGCTCGCACGTGGGATGGCGACCACAACACTCACACACGGCCTCTCTCTCTCACCCACCGAGCTCCCACGTGGGATGGCGACCACAACTCTCACACACGGCCTCTCTCTCTCACCCACCGAGCTCCCACGTGGGATGGCGACCACAACTCTCACACACGGCCTCTCTCTCTCACCCACCGAGCTCACACAACGGTGGGATGACGACCACAACACTCACACACGGCCTCTCTCTCTCACCCACCGAGCTCCCACGTGGGATGGCGACCACAACACTCACACACGGCCTCTCTCTCTCACCCACCGAGCCTGCACGTGGGATGGCGACCACAACACTCACACACGGCCTCTCACTCTCACCCACCGAGCTCCCACGTGGGATGGCGACCACAACACTCACACACGGCCTCTCACTCTCACCCACCGAGCTCCCACGTGGGATGGTGACCACAACACTCACACACGGCCTCTCTCTCTCACCCACCGAGCCTGCACGTGGGATGGCGACCACAACACTCACACACGGCCTCTCACTCTCACCCACCGAGCTCCCACGTGGGATGGCGACCACAACACTCACACACGGCCTCTCACTCTCACCCACCGAGCTCCCACGTGGGATGGCGACCACAACACTCACACACGGCCTCTCACTCTCACCCACCGAGCTCCCACGTGGGATGGCGACCACAACACTCACGCACGGCCTCTCTCTCTCACCCACCGAGCTCAACAACGGTGGGATGACGACCACAACACTCACGCACGGCCTCTCTCTCTCACCCACCGAGCTCACAACGGTGGGATGACGACCACAACACTCACGCACGGCCTCTCTCTCTCACCCACCGAGCTCCCACGTGGGATGACGACCACAACACTCACACACGGCCTCTCTCTCTCACCCACCGAGCTCAACAACGGTGGGATGACGACCACAACACTCACGCACGGCCTCTCTCTCTCACCCACCGAGCTCAACAACGGTGGGATGACGACCACAACACTCACGCACGGCCTCTCTCTCTCACCCACCGAGCTCACAACGGTGGGATGACGACCACAACCCTCACACACGGCCTCTCTCACCCACCGAGCTCCCACGTGGGATGGCGACCACAACACTCACACACGGCCTCTCTCTCTCACCCACCGAGCTCAACAACGGTGGGATGACGACCACAACACTCACGCACGGCCTCTCTCACCCACCGAGCTCCCACGTGGGATGACGACCACAACACTCACGCACGGCCTCTCTCACCCACCGAGCTCGCACGTGGGATGACGACCACAACACTCACGCACGGCCTCTCTCTCTCACCCACCGAGCCTGTGCGTTTGTCCGATGGCAACGGTTTGACACCACGTAGGCTTTCGCCACCGATATTATTCACGATAAAAAAAAATTCGGTTTTAAGTAATATTTTTAAAAACTTTTTTTAAAAAACACGCTTTAGTGAAATGTACCGGTACTCGCAATGTCAGAACTCCACGACTCCAGGAAGTGGCCCCGAAGCTTGGCCACAACGTAAGGGGCCCGTGGTGATTTACAGCCAGCGGCAGCTGAGCGTGGACAATTAGAGCCAAGCCGAAACGTAAGATATAAAAAAATAATGTTTAAAAATATATACTTTTTTATTTTTAATGATGGAATATAGTATTGTCATCAGTATGACATAAGTATACCGAGTTTGCAGTCGATACCACATTAGCAAGTGGCTTAAAATTGAGTTACAAGATTTGAGGATACAACAGTGAGTTAATAAAAAGCGTGTAATAATAATAAATGTATCGTTAACCCGCCACCACCCGACACAGCCAATGAGTAAGGTTTGGCACGTGAACAAAACGTGCCAGTTAGTTACTTCATCAGCCCACCAACGTGTTGGAGAGCAATTCCGCAACATTTGCAATTTGAATTCGACGTTTCGCTCGTGATTACATAAAGCATCATGGGGCAAAATCGCCCGATGAATCACCTCCCATGATCGCAGAGACGCCACCGGCGGCTACCAGGGATTGCCCAAGCTCTGCGGCCCTCCGCGTATTACGAAGTTTTCAGTCAATCCATAACGAGCTTCGTTTACCACGCGCGTGGGAGGCTACCAGGAGCAAAAAGATATCCACGCGCGTGCGCGTGCGAGGGAGCAACGCTCTATCCCGTCAGACGGAACGGGACGGATGGAGATGATCCCGAACGCTTTGCTACACCGCCTTCTCCTGGCGTGCCAGGGGCACGGCTCCTCCTCGACACGCCCACGGGGAGGGAGTTGGAACAGACGTCCGTAGGCCCTGCCTACCAATATTGAATTCGCCCGAGCGGGGGTTTTTCGTCGTTGAACATCCCATCGCCTAAACTCATTGGCTCAACACGAGCAGAATCTCTGCACCGGTTTCGACATTCACTGCTCATGCACATCCGGGGAGTTCACTGGCAGGCAAGGCCCGACTCTGCTGATCAGACACTGAATGTCAGCAACCCCTCAAGAGTTTTTTTTCTCGATCGAAGGGGGAGGGAGGAGTATCGTTGTCGTAGTAGGGGGCAATGGTTGCAGCTGCAGGTGCCGCTGCGCCCAATCCCAATGGATTGATTGGCAGTGTCACTTTGATCGAATTCGGCCGAATTTTTTTTAGCACGGCGGCGACACTCCGGTGGAGGGATTCTGACTCTGGCCTCTTCCCCCTCCTCCACCCCCACTCTCGCGTGCTGCACGTGACCAGGGAGAAGACGGATTGCCAGTGCCAGGATGCTGGCAAAAGGTAAAGGGCGGTGCATTCATTCACGGATAATGGGTGGTGGTGGTGATGGTGATGTTGGTGATGGTTTATGATGAGTGATGGTGGCGATTAGCACGGTTGGGTTATGATGGATGATGGTGGTGATGATGGGTGGTGGTGGTGATGATGGGTGGTGGTGGTGATGATGGGTGGTGGTGATGATGATGGGCGATGGTGGTGATGGGTGATGGTGGCGATTAGCGCGGTTGGGTTATGATGGATGATGGTGGTGATGAGTTATGATAGGTGATGGCGGTGATGATGGGTGGTGGTGATGATGGTGGTGATGATGGGTGGTGGTGATGATGATGGGCGATGGTGGTGATGGGTGATGGTGGCGATTAGCGCGGTTGGGTTATGATGGATGATGGTGGTGATGAGTTATGATAGGTGATGGCGGTGATGATGGGTGGTGGTGATGATGATGGGCGATGGTGGTGATGGGTGATGGTGGCGATTAGCACGGTTGGCTACATACTGTATGGTGATAAAGAAGTTCAACATACAACATGATTTTTCCGCACCCTTTGATGCTGATGATTATACTGATGCTGTTGCTGTTTTTGATGATGATCGTGATGCTGATTGGACATCGTTAATTTAAAATGTTCTCCCCCGTGACCCCATGACCCCCCAGGGTCAGACCCCGTGGCTGGTGGCTTGATGCGGCCATGTGATGTTGGCACGCGACGGCCAATTTCACTTTTGAGAAAATCCACGGAGACGTCGAGACATGCGGCGAGACACGTGGAGACCCAGGGAGAAGACAGAGGAACTGGATAGTGTCCTTGTCCCTATCTCTGTCTCCCTATGTCTGTGTACCTCTCCGTCTCCCTTTGTCTCTCTGTGTCTGTCTGTTTCTCTCTGTCTCCCTGCGTTTCTTTCTCTCTCTGTCTCTACCCGAGTGGTAGAGCTCCGTTTGACCGCAGTTGCAGTGAGTTTAACATTTCTGTTACACCAAGGTTTAACTTGTCCGCTAGGCCGAGGTTTAACTTGTCCACGAGGCCGAGATTTAACCAGTCGGCTAGGCCAAGGTTTAAGTTGTCCGCGAGGCTGAGGTTTAAGTCGTCCGCTAGGCCGAGGTTTAAGTTGTCCGCTAAGCTGAAGTTTAACCAGTCTGCTAGGCCAAGGTTTAAGTTGCCTGCTAGGCTGAGGTTTAAGTTGTCCACTAAGCCGAGGTTTAAGTTATCCGCAAGGCCGAGGTTTAACCAGTCGGTTAAACTGTGTAATTTATCTGGGAGTGTATTTTCCGTTTTAACTGCGGGTTCATGTATTTTTTACGTAATAATGAGGTTTATTTTTGTAACTCTTTCCGTTCATACCAGGTTCGACGTATTAACTCGGCCTGGGTCCGTACGCACCTCTGCGCGCGTATGTATATTCCGTTACGGCGAGGTCATCGCTTCCATTACATTACCGACTGTTCACTTCCCCCACCCACCCACCCACCCCGCCCGTTATCACGAGGTCACTTCCGTGCGTACATACCGACGTTTATTGTAAATCAGACACGACTAAAATTCCCGATGACACCGCTCGCCGTCGAGACGAGGGTCACCGGTTTCCCGCACGGGAGCGGTCGCCACCGCGCCGTCTCGGCTCCGCGGGCCCGAGGCTCCGCGACCGGCGGGGTTTTTCCGCGACGCGTTTTCGTGTTGACCGATGACGACGAGGTCGCAGTTTACATGTCTTCCCTGCAGAGGAACAGCGTTCCCCGTTGCGCCAGTTGCGCGCGTGCCGTGCTCCGCGAAGAATTTGCATTTCCGTCACGTCGCCTCTTCCGTCATGGCTACTCCGGTTTTGCCGTTGCACAGAGGGTTGGATTTTTTAAAAAAAAATTTTGTTCGGTCGGAAACAGAGCGGGACGATGCTCCGGTAAAACGAGGTTGAGGGTTCCAGGTTTGAAGTTTTCGTGACTGCAATGACCGGAACTGTTTGGTTCTTTCGGTAGAGTCACGTAGGTAAAAAACTAAAAATGAAGTTTCGGAGGCAACAGAAGCTTCCGTCATCGAGTGGCAACAGTCACAGTAAAAATTACGGTAAAAATTACAGTAAAATTACTGTAAAAAATACTGTAAAATTACAGTAAAATTACAGAAACAATTACAGTAAAATTACAGTAAAAATTACAGTAAAATTACAGTAAAATTACAATAAAATACTGTAAAATTACAGTAAAATTACAGAAACAATTACAGTAAAATTACAGTAAAAATTACAGTAAGATTACAGTAAAAATTACAGTAAAATTACAGTAAAAGTTACAGTAAAATTACAGTAAAAATTACAGTAAAGTTACAGTAAAATTACAGTAAAAATAACAGTAAAATTACAGTAAAAAGTACAGTAAAATTACAGTAAATTTACTGTAAAAATACAGTAAATGACAATAAAAATTACAGTAACATTACAGTAAAAATTACAGTGAAAATTACAGTAAAATTACAGTAAAAATACAGTAAAATTACAGAAAAAATACAGTAAAATTACAGTCAAATTACAGTCAAAATGACAGTAAAATTACAGTAAAAACTACAGTAAAAATTACAGTAAAATGACAGTAAAAATACAGTACAATTACAGAAAAAAAACCACCGTAAAATTACAGTAGAAATTACAGTAAAATGACAGTAATTTTTTGCTGTGACTGTTGCCACCTGATGGACGGAAGCTTGTGTTGCCTCCGACACGTCGTGATTTGATAAACTTCATTTTTATTTTTACCTACGCGACTTTACCGAAAGAACCCAAGAGTGAGTTTGAGGGTTTTCGTTCGATGGCAACTGAGCCCTCTTGTTTCACCAGAAGGGACAATTCCGATTCACCCAGCTCAGATTTCGCGTCTTACCGGACTTGGCTACTCTGGAAAGGCAACGGTCATTTCTTCTTCTTCTTCCGTTCAACCAAAGATGAGGGGCTTCCTCTATTCGAGGATTGACAATTCCGTCGTTGCAAGGGCTGACGTTATAACAACGTGACGTTTAACACGGAGGGAGGGAGGGAGAGTGGAGGGTAACGGATTTCTCACGATTAATCGTCCGTTCTTTTTGGGGGGGTGTTCAAGACCGCTGCGTAATGATCTGGTGCAAAATCTTGTGTCGTGAGACCCTTTCACCACCCAACGCAGCCAAACAAATCAAATCGTCACCTGGTGCTCGAGCGATGAACGACGAGCGGGGTGAATGTGACTCGCTCGCCCGGCCGGGTAAGTGAGAATTGTTCCGTGACGCTATTTTTAACTATTTTACACTTTTTTTAACACCTCGATAAGACCCACAAATGATAGCTCAACAAAAGTGGCTTGTCACGTGGAAAGGGGCCGTCCGTAAATGACGTCACGCACCTGGGCGGGGGGTGGAGGGGGGGGGTCAGACATTTGTGACGATGTGTGACGAGGGGGGGGGGGTGGGGGGTTGAGAAATGTGACGTCACATCAAAATGCGCAACTTTAAATAAATATAGACGACACGTTCCACTTAATTAAATAGACTTTTTTAAATAAATGTTTTCTCCTACAACATCAGAGTGCAGCGCCACGTTAAATACGCAACTACAATGACAATACTAGATTTCAAGCTTTCGTGACTGCCAGGATCCATACTCTTTGGTTCTATTGGGTAAAGTTTTTACCCAATAGAACCAAAGAGTATACAATGACAATAGTTTAAAGCGATTTGAAGCATTTTTCGATTTAAAGCTTTCGTGACTGCAAGGATTCATCTTCTTTGGTTCTTTCGGTAAAGTCACCAAGTAGAATGAGAATAAAATAATAAATTTATCAAATAAAATAACACAATAATATTCTCACGACGTTTCGGCCACAACACAAGCGGCCTTCATCAGGTGAAGGGACGAGACTGTCTGGTAGGACAGCGCTGGAGTGAAAGAGCCACGTTCAGATCACGACCTTTAAGCTGTGTGAGAGGAAACAAAGCGCCTTGACAAAGGAATTAGCATATAATTTAGCATTGAAATGGCTGAATGATTAGCTTGTGACTGGTCACAGAAATAGCTATGTTAAAGTTAAAGCATACACATCTGCAGAGGCACCCCTTGACAAAGGAATTAGCATAGAATTTAGCATTGAAATAGCTAAGTTAAAGCATACACATCCGCAGAGGCACCCCTTTCAATGCTAAATTCTATGCTAATTCCTTTGTCAAGGGGTGCCTCTGCGGATGTGTATGCTTTAACTTAGCTATTTCAATGCTAAATTATATGCTAATTCCTTTGTCAAGGCGCTTTGTTTCTTCTGACACAGCTTAAAGGTCTTGATCTGAACGTGGCCTTCTTCACTCCAGCGCTGTCCTACCAGACAGTCTCGTCCCTTCACCTGATGAAGGCTGCTTGTGTTGTGGCCGAAACGTCGTGAGAATATTATTGTGTTATTTTATTTTATAAATTTATTATTTTATTCTCATTCTACATGACTTTACCGAAAGAACCAAAGAAGATTTGAAGCATGTTTTATTTTAGGGGGGGGGGGGGCAGAGCTTTGTGACGTCATATTTGAGGGGGGGGGGGGGGTCTGATTTTTTGTGACGCCGTGTGACGATGGGGGAGGGGGGAGGTCAAAAATCGTCCAAAATCGCGTGACGTCATTCATGGGCGGCCCCAAATACTCTAAGGGAATGTTCCTAAAGGTGGAGGGGAAATCCCGGAGGGCGTGGAAGAAAATCCACGCGACCACAGGGGAGAGAGAGAGAGAGACACGCACACTCCAAATATACAGCAGCAGGTGTCAGGGTCGGGATCGAACCCACGACCTCCTGTATACCAGGCGAGGTAGTTAACATCTCATAGCCACCGTGATGATGAGAGAGAGAGAGACACGCACACTCCAAATATACAGCAGCAGGTGTCAGGGTCGGGATCGAACCCACGACTTCCTGTATACCAGGCGAGGTAGTTAACATCTCCTAGCCACCGTGATGATGATGAGAGACGCAGACTCCAAATATACAGCAGGTGTCAGGGTCGGGATCAAACCCACGACCTCCTGTATACTAGGCGAGGTAGTTAACATCTCATAGCCACCGTGATGATGATGAGAGAGAGAGAGACGCGCACACTCCAAATACACAGCAGGTGTCAGGGTCGGGATCGAACCCACGACCTCCTGTATACCAGGCGAGGTAGTTAACATCTCATAGCCACCGTGATGATGATGAGAGAGAGAGAGACACGCACACTCCAAATATACAGCAACAGGTATCAGGGTCGGGATCGAACCCACGACTTCCTGCATACCAGGCGAGGTAGTTAACATCTCCTAGCCACCGTGATGATGAGAGAGAGACACGCACACTCCAAATATACAGCAGCAGGTGTCAGGGTCGGGATCAAACCCACGACTTCCTGCATACCAGGCGAGGTAGTTAACATCTCCTAGCCACCGTGTTGATGATGAGAGAGAGACACGCACACTCCAAATACACAACAGGCGTCAGGGTCGCGATCAATCCCGCGACCTCCTGTCCACCGGGCGAGGTAGTTAACATCTCACCACGTTAACTGAGCCTCTTTTGATTTGAGCAAATCATTTCGCCCAGATCAACCGTTCACTTCCCCTTCCCGTCTTTGCTCGAGTCCACCAACCCTGACTCGCCCCATCCCCCTTGCCACTCACCGAGGTCCCTGGGCGAGGGAGTTTACTTCCTCGAGTTGAGCGGAAACAACGAACCGACGCCTCCTTGGCGGAGCGGTTTGTGCAGCTGTGCTGGGTGGCAGAGGGCCTCGCGACACAACGTTAAAGGGCCGGATCCATTACTTACGGTGGCCGAACCCATCGGTGCTGGTTTCTGTCGATTTCAAGAGGTGGATAATTTTTTACGACATTCTTTATATTTTGTCCGTCATGTATTTTTCTAACCAAGAGATGAGATATATATTTTGTAAACTTTTGCGAGTTTTTTTGGGGGGGGGTGCAGAGGGGGGGGCGGGCTGGGGGCTCTCGTTTAATTTTTTACGTGATGACTTGTATAGTAATTATGCAACTTTATGGTAATTATGGTTACCAATCGTTATTACTCTCCCGTTGTGTCGATGGTGTCCCTCTGGGTTACAATTCCAGGGAACCAGGCCAATGGTTCAGATTGCTGTGATGATATTTTTTTCATTATTGTTGTCGACAATTGTTATAATTATTGTGCCGCTTGTGTACCCAGGAAAGCCTCACCCACTGAGTCTCAAGACTCCCCTTCAGGAGAGTGCTGTCAGGTTTTCGCTGTAAGAGGCTGGCGATGATTGCTGCTGCTGCTGCTGCTGCTCGTAATAATCGTTCGGCTCGCGAGTGATGTCCAAGCGCTCTCAGAAACGGAATCTTTATTTATCCTTGGAGAAATCCGATGAGCTGTAAAGCTCTTTTTCACTGATGTCCAATCGGGGCACGTCAGAACGTTACAGGAACAAACAATACAACAACACGTTAGGAGTGCAAAGTATAGGAAATGTAAACATCACTTTTAAAAAATATAAACTATGTTTTATCTTAGCAAGTAAGGCCGCCATGGTGGCGAGATGTTAACTACCTCGCCTGGTATACAGGAGGTCGTGGGTTCGATCTGTATATTTGGGGGTTGCGTGTTCTCTCTCCTCGTGGTCGCTTGGATTCTTTCTCTCGGTCTCCTAGGCTTTTCCCTACACACATTTAGAATTGACCTGCATGTTGATTCTTTGGCTGGTAAAGATTTCCACGCGATGCGAAGCCACTTCGTTGAGCTGTCATTTGCGATAGCCAGGTCGCTTCTGGAAGATTATAAAAAAACAACAGCTGTATTCCCCAGTGGGCCTTACCCGGTCAAATAAAAAATAGTTTTAGTTTAAAGCCCCACTGAGCTATGTAGTTGCTTTTTTCAGAAGCGGCATGGCCACAAAAGATAGCCCAACGAAGTGGCTCGTCATCGCGTGGAGCTCCGGAAAAGGAGTTTTGGTCGCAGGCTCTGAACTCTGGGCTATGAGTTCTCAATTGCGCGAAATAATTCTGCCAATTTGGCCGCGAAGCAACAAAACAAAACAACCAGATACACTGGGGATATTTGGTTTATTGTTTTTTTTAGGATCGGCATCTTTAGTTGCCGTGGCAGAAATCAGATGAGCTT